TAAGTTTTTGCTACCAGAAAATTGAAACATCAACACAGATTTTACATTTAAACACGATAAGAAATAAGAAAGCATTGACTCTTTATTTGTTTATTATAGAGATTTGCAACTTTACAAAACTGCATGAAAGGTCCAAGTTAAAATCATGTATTTATGATTATGCGGTGTACCGCGGGTCAATCCCTAAATTTTAAAAATGATTCATTGTATAATTTTTTTTTTTCATTGTATAATATTTATACATGTATATATGTCACATATTGTTCTAAAATTAACAATCCAACTAAAATCATACAATTTAAATAATTTTGAACATATTCGAAACCAACACATACAATCTAAAAATGATAAAATTTAATTACTAATCAAAATAAAGTAAAGCAAACACAAATAAAATTATCTCGCAACGTACAAAGGACTAAAAACCCGGTAATTTCCCCCGCGCTGTAGCGCGGGTCCGGACCTAGTATAAGGTATTCTCTTTGGTAAATCTTACCCTTAAGGACCCTCCAATGAGGATGCCCTATTTTGAAACTTTTTAAAAATTTATTTATCTTAAATATATAATCGGATTAAACAGAATATATATATTTTTAATTTGGATGTCTAAGAAACCAAATTTCATGCTCATTTTTAGTTAGAAACATATTAGTCATATTTTGTAATGGTTTTGAACTCTTATATAAACATTTTCCCTTTATCAATTGAGTTATATACGTCCGTTTTCAAAAAATTAAATTACAAAATGTGTGAAAAAATATTTGTATTTTTATTATAATATTTTTTATGTAATAATATAAATAGAAAATAAATAAGATTATATAAATATATTGGAGAGAGATTCAAGTTATTAGAGAGATATTTTAGAAATATTTTTGATGTAATAAATATTTATTTCCAATTTTGAGATTTGCTTGTGATTTAGTTACAAAATTTACTTTAAGTTTTGTTATTTATCAAATGGCAAGGATTTGATTATGAAAATATTACAAAATAAAAGGCTATAACCCAAAATAGATTTTAATACAAAATGTATTTCAAAAATGTTAAGATAGATCATTTGAAATCTAAAGGATTTAATAAATAAATAAACGAAAAAGCAATATACATTATATAGTTAGTTTAAAAGTTGGAGGCTACATTGTATGTAGAAATAAACTTAATTATCAATCTGATTAAGTTGTTTATTAAATATTAAGTTGTTTTTTAAATATATAATTTTATTTATACTGTTAAAAAAACTAAAAACTATAATTATTTTATAATGAATTGTTATGGTTTTGTATACTTAAAAAAAAAGTACAATCTTGGGAAGAAAATTGTAACGATGATTTTTGTATTTAAGTAAATCACATAATAAGTTAATGGTTTTGATTGACAATGTGAAAATAAGCAATTCCCTTACTAATTCATAAGATTTTTCCAGTTTTAGTTTAGATTATAATACCTTGAATTATTTTACTATTAGTTTAGCTTTAAATTTTAAAAATAACTAATTATAATAAAAATGGATACATTAAATATATAAACAAAACTAGTGTTTATATATTGAATATATAAAAAAATCAATAGTTTTTTTTATTAAATTGTTTATGTTTTTATATAAAGAAAAAGATATAATCTTAGGAAGAAAATTGCTATGATGATTTTGTATTTAAATAAAATCAGATAATAAGTTAATGTTTTTATTAACAATATAAAAATAAGTAATTCCCTTACTAATTCACAGAATTTTTTTAGTTTTAATTTAGATTTTAGTATCTTGAATTTTTCTAGTTTTAAATTAGATTTTAGTATCTTGAATTTTTGTAGTTTTAATTTAGATTTTAATAGTTACCAACTTGCCATGTGTGACCATGCATTCTTCTATAGTTGGTATAGCCAGCCATCTTTTTTCCAATACAAAACACGGTTTTTGAATGTAAGTCGCGAATTGTAGTACCCGATTATTAAAAGAAGACGGCCATAGTTAAATTTTAATTTGCTAAGATAGCAAAACTCTTCTGGTATATATAAGTAAATTCTTGTGGTTTATAACTAAAAAATAATTAAAGTGGAGATGCGGGGGATCGAACCCCGTGCCTCTCGCATGCAAAGCGAGCGCTCTACCATTTGAGCTACATCCCCATTGTTGTTTCCTTCTACTTTACTTCTCCTAAATTCAAAATCAACAAACCAACATGAACTTCACCTCTTATCTCCAACCCAGCCGCGTCACGGTGGTGGTCGGAGCTAGATCCCCGGTAGACCGCCGCCGGAGATCTCTTGAGAGAGTAAGTAAAGAACTCTCAAGAGGAAATTACGAAACTGCTCTCTCTCGCGTCAAGCAACTCAAGGGCAAACATGATTGGTGCCTTGCAGCTTTCGGATCTGCTAAACTGGTCTCTCTCATCTCATCTTCCTCATGCTTACTTTTTACTAAATCATGTCTAATTACGTGTTTGATTGATTAGCTTCCGAAGAAATCAGACATGAGTGACAGAACTAATCTCCGGTCGTTAATTGATTCTGTCTCAAGAAGTATTGAATCTGTTTATGTTGAAGAGGTACTTTCAATTTTTGGCCTCACTTATTTGTATCTTGTGAAATGTTATTCCAAAACCGTTTCATATACCAAGAATTTGTGAAATGCAAAACAATTGTTTTTTTGAAGGATTCATCAAAAAAGGAGGAAATTTATACTTCACCTGAAGAAGATTGGTTCAATGTTGTTCAGGTGAAAATATTTTGAATTGTTGTTATCTTTCATGTCTTTAACAAAATAAGTGTGTGATTTGCTTTTTGATTGGTGTATCTCATTGGCAAACGTATCTTGTTTTCCTGTGCCGTCTGCAGCATGAATCAGGGCATTTTCTGGTTGGTTATTTGCTTGGAGTTCTTCCAAGACACTATGAAATACCAACTTTGGAAGATATTAAGGAGAATGTGTTGAGTGTGACCGGGAGAGTAGAATTTGTCGGTTTTGAGTTCCTCAAGGAGGTAAGTGGTTTGTTTGTTCTTCGTATATTACAAATGGTCAGCTTGGCTATGTTCCAAATCATTAGAAGTTATGTTATTACCCGCAGGTTGGTGCTGCAAACCGGGTTATGAAAGATGATATGGACGGTCGAATGAATCTATCGGTATCGGTATGTTATATACTTGTATGTTATAATACCTCTGTTGTGTATCTTCTTAACTTGATACATTTTTTCTTCTACAATGTAGGGTTCTCAAGGCAATATCTCATCTAAGGTAAGATTTCTTCACATTGTATCTGTAATGAGTGGTTTATTAGTGTTTCTGTAATGATTGGTTACATCTGTGAATGCAGACACTGAACAACTTCTCATGTGTGATACTCGGAGGAATGGTAGCTGAACATTTACTATTCGGATACTCAGAAGGTTACTACTCAGATGTTGTCAAGGTTTACACAAACTCAAATCTCTTCTAGTTTCAAATGCAGTGTGAGACTATAATCTTCTAATGTATATTGGTGTTGTTGCAGTTAAACGATGTTCTGCAATGGTTAGGATTCACAGAAACGGAAAAAGAAACTCATATCAAATGGGCAGCTTCCAACACTGTCTCTTTATTACATTCTCACAGTGAAGCTAGAGTTTCACTAGCAGAAGCCATGGCTAAAGCCAAACCTATTGGTGATTGTATCGAAGCAATTGAATCTACTATTTCCAGACTTAAGGTGTAACCACAAAACATGTATCAAACCATATTCATTACTTGATTTGCAAACACAGATTTTTTAAAGCCATATGAAATCCCAAAACTATTGTAGAAGAGAGAGAGAGACCAGTCTATGTTACAAACAAAGAGAGTAGACAACAAGAAATCAAAACTCCTGAGAAGCTGATCCGATATCGCCTTTGTTCTTTCCAAGCTTTGATGGGAGAAGAGTCTGATGAATGTTAGGCAAAACTCCTCCATTAGCAATTGTAACACTTCCAAGAAGTTTACTCAACTCTTCATCGTTTCTCACTGCGAGCTGAATGTGTCGTGGTACAATACGTGTCTTCTTGTTATCCCTTGCTGCGTTTCCTGCTAGCTCCAATACCTATGATCATATAAACATTACATAGATCAGACTACATATAGTTACATATAATCAAAATCAATGCAACTGACACAGGATCTCATATAGTTTACACAGAGATCATGAACACTACACAAAGATTGAGAAATCAGAAGATTAGAAAACTCCAATACCTATGATCATATCAACATCATAAAGATCACACCACATCAACCCTTAACATTGAATCAGTATTAGCTAAAATCATAAACACTAATTCTAAAACCTGCATCTGTATGAGGCAAATCATAAACTTTACTTCATATGGTTATGCTTTGTAATCGAAATCAAAATCAATTCAACTGACACAAGATCTCATATAGTTACGCAAAGATCATGAACACTAAGCAAAAATTGAGAAATCAGAATATCTAATCAAAATCAAATCAACCAACCATCAAATATGATTCTCATTACTAAACACGATTTTACAATTGAAACCAAAATCTAAGCAACTGAGAAAACGAAATCGAAATTGAGAAATCAGCAAACTTCTTGTGATTCTCCTACAGATCAAGGAAATAAACTCAATTACGCAATACAAATCAAAACCAAAACAACGAAGCATCAAAATGAAATGACTCTAATCATTGAAGACTAAACACGATTTTGCAATTGAAACCAAATCAAAGCCACTGACAAATCAAAATCGAAATCGAGAAATCAGAAGATTAGCAAACTTCAATTTCGCAAATCAACAAACCATAAAATCAAATCAATGAACCAATGAGAGTTAAGATCTTTAAAATCAAAATCAAATCAAATTGCAATTTTGCAATTGAAACCAAGATCAAGGCGACTGAGAAATCAAAATCGAGAAATCAGAAGATTGTTCAGTACCTCAGCGGCAAGGTACTCAAGAACGGCGGAGAGATAAACCGGAGCACCAGCACCGACACGTTCAGCGTATTTACCAGCTTTAAGGAATCTAGCGATTCTACCAACAGGAAACTGAAGACCAGCTTTAGAAGATCGAGAAACTGACTTCGTAGCTTTTGGCTTTCCTCTACCTCCTTTGGATTTCTCACTGCCGGCGCCGGAACTCATTTTTGCGTTACCGGAAAATATTTGAAGAGGCGATTGAGAAAATGAATGTTTTGTGAAGTAGGAGTTTGGTTTTAGGGTTTTGGTGAGTTGTGTGATTCTGATGTTATTATATAGTGTTGTGAGAAAGGATTCTTATTGGTTAATGGTGAGTCTCGCGGATTGCCAACGTGGCACTATTGTTTAAGTTCTCGCGGGTTTTTTTTTGTTTGTTTTTGGTTTCGCGTCACTTCTAAATTTAGTCGGCGCGGTGCAAATGAAACCAGTTTGGTTTATGTACCCAAATCCAAAAAAAGGAACCTAAACCAAACCGAACTGAATTAAGCAATTTTAACCAAATTATTTAGCTCTGGGCATTCAGTATTTCAGTTTATTTGAGTTATTCGGTTTGGGTTATTAGATTTTTCATAGTTTTGTTACATGATACATATGGTGTTGATTGGTTCTCCCGTTCTCAGCCGTCTAGCGGTTGCGGTTGTTAGCAGTTCGTACCAATCATATAAAATGTTTTACACCATTTCAGATCGCTCAAAATCGTTGGATTTCAAAAGATACTTCCCGCAAGCGTTTGCGGTTGCGATTGGTTTTAAAAAGGAACGAACTTCTGTATATTGAAATATATTTGATCAAATCCTATACATATTCAATTTAATTCTCAAAATAATTATTCTCTAAATATTATTGATTATATGTGTTTCACCATAATATTTTTTTTTTACATCTGAATAATTATTTAATATGTATATTTAGTAATTATTTATGGTTTTTAATTATCAACCATGTATTAAAAAAAATACTTTTTCATAATATATGTAACTAAAAGAAATTTGTTTTTAAATACTTATTTAGTAATCCATTTATGGTTTTTAGTTATTAATCATATTTATTTTTAATATATTTTTATTTCATCATAATAATATAGTTTTCAGTACATTTATACATTTTTATAATCATATTTACATTTATTTTTGTAATTTTTCATTTAACCGCTATTGCACCCGCTAGTCAACCAGTTATAAAACTCCTACAAACGTAACCATTTTTAAACGCAAAATCAGTCGTTTAAATCGCTTAATAACGCTTGAAACCGCAACCGCCTGTTTCCACAAACTCTCGCAACCGCAACCGCAACAGCTGCGTTTAAACCAATCAGGCCCATTCATTTCAAAAATAATCGCTTACACAAATATAGGAAATTATTACAATTTCGATGAAAGAGTGGAGAGTAAAAATGCTATTTTTAGATTTATAGGCTAACAAATCATATCTGTTAAATCCTCCTTTGATACACTTTTTATTGGCTAACATCATATAGCTAAAACTCCAAAATGCTCTTGGGATAACTTTAGTTAAATGAAAAAAATGAAATTATTGCTTGAAATGAATATGGAATCTGTCTTTTGAAGATTAGTAGAGCATGTCATCATCAAAAAAAAAAAGTTCATGCATGGCCTCTTAGGTCATGAGATAGAACAAATTTGGGTTTACATAAATATGATTATGTTTGTCATACGGATTGTCTATATATTAGTCTGAAATCAAACGAGTTTTTTCCCTAGACATATTTAATAAAAAGTTGATTAATTACAATTATATATATATATATATATATATAAATTGTCATGTAAGTTAAAAAAAAAAAATCTCATGCAGTATTCCATAGGTTAAATCATAGTCCATAATATAATGATACAATAATAGATACTAAACAAAATTGATAAAAAAAAATGTACAACTTAAAATCAAAAAAGAATATCCCGCAATGTATCGCGAGTTAAATCCTAAAATCAACAATCAAAATTCATTTCCAAAATTTTAAACCCTAAACAAACAAGAAAAAAGATTAACAAACATAACTTTAAATATAAAATTTTAGTTTAAAAGAAAAATCGCCTCGCAAAATATTGCCGGTTAAAATCTTCTTAATATTAAAAGAGGAGTACAAAATTGAAAATTGAAATTTTTTGACCAAAAATTCCGAAATTACCCTTTAATTTTATATGAAAGAGAGCATTAATCAAAATTGGAAGGGGTAATTTCGTCTTAAACGAAAAAAAATCGATTACCCGACCCGTTTGGAGTCAGACCCGCGCGTTTATCCGTTAACCCGGTGGATCTCCATGTGTTTGACTTCGACCCGTTTGTAAAGAAGATAAGTTGGATTTCGTCTAATGGACCTTTTGAAGTCATCTTGTGATCATATTTACTGGGCCTGTTCTATTAAACGGATTGAGTTAAACAGTTCATGAATTATTATTATGCATTAATTATAGAAAATCAGAGCATATCTTCAGTACTAATGATTTTTAACATATTTAAAATTCCATAACGAAATTTATGCTAATTTTAAGATAATTATATTCAATGTCTTATTTGTAATTTATCAATATCTCTAATTTATGCTATTTTCAAGCTAACACAATATAATTCTCATGTATTCTATAAAGATCTCTCTTTACTCTATTATATTATCTACGTATACGATTTTCATTTATATCCTATATTAAATACCGTAAAATATTCAACTAATCTTGCCTAAAACTATGGTATTATAAAGATGATTTTTGTTGACTTATCGTATGAACTTTTTCTCCAAGTTTCCTAAAATTCGATAAAGAGATATACCCTAGACATCTAAGTTCTCTATAAATATTATTTTTCAGTCGATCTCTTCAGATCATCAAGAATTACCTCAAATTCGTTTAAATCCATAAGATATAGCAATGGTGCATTCCTCAGAGATGTGTATACAAGACACTTGAAAAAGCAAGAGTCTTACGGATTGAACTAAATTAGAATAGTAAAACTGGGTTTCTCAAAACGCTATCTTTGATATATAGAAATTCTGTTTACAATGGGTTTTTCCCTAAACAAATTCCTAATCTCTCAAAGACCTTCTTTCTGAGATCACACACTTTGATCTTAAAATCTCTCAAAGAAACCCTATGCACTCGAGAAGCTCTCAACTCTCTTTTCTCTCAAGTTAAAGCTTATTGCAAGAATCTCTTTCTCTTAATCGTGCTGAGCTTTCTTCAAGCCTCAGCTCCCTATTTATAGAACTAGGACATCTCCATACAACAGGAAATTCCTATTCTACTTCTAAATAGGATTTAGGATATTTTCCTTTTTCTTTATGGATTAGGAAATTATCCAACTCTTCTGATTTACTTTTATTCTCATAAAAGTAAAGTCTTCACGCTTCTAAATGCTTCTAGACACTTCTTCTTTGTCTTGTGCCCAAGCCAAACCGCCTTTCTTCACTTTCCTTATTTGTTATTTCTTCATTTGTTAAGTCCTCTGAACTAGTCGATGTACTAGTACACTATATTGTTCATACTGCATCTTCAACACCATGGTGAGATGAAGGAAAGGTCTTGCATACCTGAAAATCATACAAAATAAGATTTGGTGAGATGTGTCCTCTTTTTTTTTTCACTTTGGTGAGATGACTTAAAGTATGATTATGCAAAAACTCATAAATCTTTTTACAGGTACACCATAACATGTTAACCGTTTTGAAAAGCTGATAACCTAAGGACAATGGAAACTCATAGAAAACTTTGTGTTGACTTATGAAAGTAGACAATTCAAGCCAACCATGCATGATTCAAATTAGATCTTCAAGCATCTGCACGTTAGATCTTGTACTACAGAAGTTTCAAGACAAGACATACTTTGAAATACTCTGAAATTCAAAGAAGTCTTAAAACAAACTGAGTTCATCTCGAAATTCTGAAACTGAAACAAACGGAAGCAAATTGCAAAGTTCAAAATGAAACTCCCCCAAAATCCAAAAAACTTTAAAATTCATACTCCCCCATGATCAAAGAACTTGTAATCTCAGCAATACTCCCCCATGATCAATGCTTCTTCTCCCCCTGCTTGAGACAACATAGGTTAAAAACCAAAATCAAGCTTTCTTGGTCATCGAATGATTCTGAATCAGCCGATTAACAACATCAGTGAGCTTCCTTAGAACATCATCAGAAAGTTTCTTCAGAACAACAGCAGTATCAACCAAAGCTGCATAAGATGCTGCATCACTGTTAACTCCACCACGAGGCAGACGAATCTCACCAAGCTGAATAACATCAATATCACAATCAGGACCAACTTGCTCAGATGTAGTAGAACGACCAAAACTGTCATCACCAGGATACTTCTTAGCATAAGCTTCACTAGTGCGAGGATCCTTAACATAGTCTTCAGCAACAATAAACTCATCATCTTCATTATGAACATCTCCCTGAACAAGAAGCAACTCAGTGATAACCCGCGGAAAAATCAGCCAGCGCTTATCATCATTCTGAATAGAATTCCATGTCATGACTTGTTCATAGACCAGCTGACCTACATCAATCCGAATGCCTGGAAGAATCTTGTAAACTACCCTGACTCGTTTTTCAGCAAGATGATTCTTATGTGATGTTGGAACCCAATTGTAAGCAGCAATCATAAGTAGTGCTCCAACTCCAACAGGTAAATTCTGACACTTAAACCTTTCCAATTAGATTTGTCTTTTCCACTAAGAACTTTGGCTATATGATCAAGTGCAACATCATTAGCAGCTGCTTCTGCTCGACGTCCTGCCTTAGTCAGAGGCTTCTGAAGCAATGCACGATTGATATCTGTTGGAGAAAACTCAAACATCTAACCCCTAACAAACACTTGAACACCAGAAGTGGATACCTCTGAAGGTAGATTAGCATAAAATTCACAAACAATCTCTTTGACATAATCAGCCAATTCAAAAGCGAGTTCCTCTAAGCCTACATCCTTAATTTTCAGACAAAAACCCCAAGTATCTTCTTTGAGAACATCAATGCGGTGTTCTTGATTAAACCGACGAGAGATGAAACTATTATACCTTAACTGAGCAGCACGAGACACAAAGCGTGAGGAATCAAAACCAGAAGACTTGGAAAAACCTTTCTTAGTACGATGCTTTCTGGAAGATTCGGCTACTTCAGTTTCCGGATTTTGTTTCTTCTTTATCTTCTGTTGGCAAAACTGATCTTGAACAGAAATATTCGGATCAACACAATCTTCTGGGTATTCCACTGTAATCGGAACTGGTTCAGGGC